CCTCCAATTTAGTTAGATATCTCGATCTATGCAATATTGGACTTAGGGTGTATCTCAACTACCCAATTTATTGCTTTTCAGTGATCCTATCATGGATTGAAAATGTGTAATTTAAAAACAGATATTAAGATGTCTTGCAATCTCAACTAATGATATACTTTGACTAGTATTTATATTTGAGATTTACATCTACAAAAGTTAGTTAGGCTTTTGTTATCATAACTAGTATTATCTCAATCTCACTTTATTGAGAATATACTATGTTATCAGATGTTAAATATTTCATATCAAATATACTAATTAGTATATCATTATTTTTTTTTTTTAAGGCATATAATAACTTATGCATTACATTTATGTCATTGTCTCGGTAGTAGCTTTAATCCACTCAAGGACTTATAAACTTGCACACTTGACTTTTCAACTAGAACAAATAACTCAGCATTTCAACTGGAAAAAGAACCCTTCTAGTTGTTCTGTAATATTTTCCTCGTAGGAAATAATATGTACTATTGTTATAATACTACAAATGATTTTTTGTTTTATCCAAAATCTCTTAAGATTAAGAATCTCCACATTTATAAGTATTTCTTATATGATGAGGTAACTCGTATCAAATTTCATCTATGGATAATATCCCCCCACAACTTTGGGATAATCCTAAAATTATTTATATATGATATATTTCTTATGATTTTCCAACTCCTGAAATACCATATATTAAATATTTTACCCCATCTACCTTTCTAAGGTTCTATATTCGCTTCTCAACAAGCATGATAATAGTCTCTAGTGCATAGGTATTCAATTTATCTCTAGCTTATTCTTATAATATGTTACAGACGTTACTGTGAATTAATGCTAGAGATATTAAATACAATGGGCTCTAATTAATATTTGTTTCTACATCTCTTGTATTTATGAATTAAGTTATTCATGTTAAGTCAGTCATATTAACATGTCATAACCTTTCATGTATCACACACATCACATAACTCAATAATTTAAGCAAATAATTCTCTAATTATTTAAGCTTTGGATACAATCACCACAGAGTGAAAACTCACTTCTCAGCTATCATTACTAGTTAAAAATGAGTTATTAGCTATCATTACTAGCTTAGATTAAATACACTCTTCTTATATCTCACTACTAGGTTATGATGAACATCCACTTCTCAACTATTATCGCTAACTTGAAGTTAAGTTTGTTTAGCTATCAATTCTAGTAACTCATAGCTTTAGTACATACTTATCTAAGTAGTCTACCTTGGCAGTAAAGTAATTTGTTTTACAAGTAGTACCTCCTACACGAGCAGATATGATGTATAGCTCAAATACCTTATAGCAAAAATAGCTACTCATCACCCTCGTGTTTTTTACTATCAAGTTGAGAGGTAGAACTGACTAATAGATTTTTCTCTTCCTCTTAGGTTTAGTGCACCTCATTAATCATTGTAGCTTATAACTAAGCTAACTAGTTTGCAACTCAATAATATTTTAGTTTTTAACTAAATTGTAAATTATAGCTAATTAGCTTGATTCAGCTTGTCTAAGTGTACTAACTTAGTGTATCCATAACATTTTCCATTAAACTTTTTAAAGTTATCGGAAAATCTTTTCTTATTTAGTCCATTCACAGCTATATATGTCTTAGACACTAGTATAGATTTTTTTCCCTTGATTATCGGGAGAATTGACATAGCTACACTAGTCAATTTTTATCTGTTGTATTAAATACACAAACCAGTCATGAACTCATACAAAATTAATAATATCACACAATAAATAAACTACATTGTCAAATTAAATTACTATGTACACTAAGTAATTCAACTACATAACTCAATATTATAATCTCAAATAAAAGTAAGCACTTATATAAATAATATTGAACTAACATAAATAATATAGTTTAATATTATCTCACATGATTAATTATATCACATAAGTAATCCAAGAAATAATAATATTCAAGAGAAGACTTTGCTTCCTTAAAGCTTTGTGGATCATTCTCTAATAAACATGCTAGAAAATCATGACCAAAAAATTTAGACGTTCTAACCCTCTTGCTACTTCTAAGCTCATCCTTATTTTCATTTTATGATTTATGTACAAGAAAATGATATGCACTACTATTATGAGCATAACCTATCAAAGGTTTTATGTAACGATCCACTCCACCACATGGTATGATATTGTCTGCTTTGAGTTCGAGTCCACACTATTTTGTTCTTGGGTTTTATCCCGAAAATGCCATATACCAATTAGAGATAACACCACCACATAAAATCACTTCACATTTCCCTTACCTAAGCGATGTGGGACTGTGCACTTGTAGCTTGTCCAGTGTGGTAGCTTGTCAGTACCTCTTGCACCCATCCACGATACACTCACCTGGAAGGCCGTCACATTATAGGTCCCTCTTTAACTTTCTTAGGAGTAGGAACTACAATCTTAGATAGACATCCCCACACTTTTAAGAATTTATAGGAAAGTTTTCAACTTTTTCAAAATTCATATGGTGTCACATTAGTTTTCTTTTGAGGTATTTTATTGAGAATATAATTTGCGAAAAGCAAACTTCCCCCCACAAATTTTGAGTTAAATCAGAATTTATCAATATAGCATTTATCATATCTTCATGAATGATATCATGTTCTGAACAAATATTAGTAAAAGTGTTTTGATCTTTTTGCTAAGTTGATTTTCAACCTCATTTTTGTAGTGTTTAAAACATTTCTAAGATTTTATATTTACTTCGTAGCAAATATACAAAACAGTATCTTATGCAATCATTGATAAAACTCACGAAGTACTCTTTTCGATCTCTTGTTGATACAAATTTAAGATAATATAATATAGTACATTATATTACAAAATTAAAATAATTCAACCAATATTGAATTATATAAATAATTCAATATTCTACTTATATAATATGCTTCAATTTTATATAATATTGAACACATCAATATTTAGCATATTATCATATAATAATGTATATAACATTATTTTATTATATCTCAATTATTAGTATAATCTCTACTTATTTTTATCTTAAATAGAAGCATATAATAAAAATCTACGTAATGAATGAATCTGTCTTAAGATTGTTAGTAAATATATGTTTCAAGTGATATTTAAGATATAACTAACCCTATACTAATATGCCATAAAATATTTGTAATATGCTAAAAATAATTAATTAAATATTCAACTAAATTAAACATGCAAATTAAAGTAATAAAATAATAATAATAAATAAAGAACCTGGACCGAGGCTAGTATTGGATACTATGTCCTTAAGACAGATTCGCTCCGCTATAGTGCTAACGGACTCAGTGGCGTCTATCTCCCAAGATACAACGGTTTACATCCACCAATAGCAGCATTACAAACTCGTAGATACGACGAACCTCCTCCTTGTAATATTCTCTCTAACTCAAAAATATATCTATACTATATAAATGCTGAATTGGGTGCAATCCGAACCAAATGTTTCAGACCAATCTTAATATGGCTCGATGAAATTGGATTACGGTCTAAGTGGCTTGGACCACTTAACATATGGTTTGAACTACTTGGGTTGGGTTCAAGTCTAAAGAGGGAGATAGAAGAAAATGAAATGAATGATTTGCAAATGCTTCAAGGGGGGTATTTATAGGCAACAATGTGCCTTTTTGGGTGGGTGCAACCCTTTGGAAAAAAGTAAAAAGTAGTTTTTTAAGCAATGTGCTTTTTCGGATTGGGTGTGTCTCTTCATCATTAGACACAACTATTTATATGTGTCTCTTCATCATTGGACATAACCATTTATATGTGTCTCTTCACACTGAACACATCCACTCCAATATGTTGCAATGGTTCACATGGTGTCTGTTCACCAATAGACACATCCATTCCAATTGGTTGGAATGGTTCACACAAATTGTTATGTCTGTTGGTTTTGAGTTACATCTTTTCATCCCATAACCAACCAGTAATTGCACATGTTCAATCAAAGGCATCTATTGATGACTAATCAAACAATTTTCATTCACAATTTCTAACAGGTGTGTCACTCCAATTGGTATGATGCCTTTTGGGGTAAAACCCAAGAGCAAAACCATGCGGGTTCAGGCCCAGAGTGAACAGTATCATACCATATGATGGAATGAGTATTACAAATAGTATCAGAGCCTGACCCAGCCGAAAGTGTGGCCAACGAGGATGTTGGGCCCAAAAGGGGTGATTGTGGCGACCCTATGGGCGGGTGCAAGAGGCTTACAGGTACACAATCCCACGTCGTCTGGGTAAGGGAAAGATGGTATGAGCCCTTTTGGAATAAAACTCAAAAACAAAACCGTGCAAATTCAGACCCAAAACGAACAATATTATACCATTTGATTGAACTACAGAGGTAGTTATCATCTCAAAAATAATCATATTTAATAGAAAACTAACTCTGTAACAGTCTTTCGGAACTTTTGTTCTTCAGAACTGTTTTGTAGTTTTTCACACCAAATGAATTTTCATGCTCAAAAATTGAAAATTGTTTTCTATTTTTGTTAAATTATTATTGAAAACTTAAAAAAACAACAAAGTAAACCTAGCAGCTACATTAAATGTGTATAATGATGAAAAGAAAATTTAATGATAAGCATTATTTTCCTTTTAAATTAAATGCACGAGGGTAAAATTGAATTTAAAAAATCAATGATAAGTATTATTTTCCTTTTAAACTAAATGCATGAGGGTAATATTGAATTAAAAAAATTCAAGATAAGCATTATTTTCGATTTAAATTAAATGCATGAGGGTAAAATTGTGTTAAAAAAAGTTAATGATAAATATTATTTTCCTTTTAAATTAAATGCACGAGGGTAAAATTATCTTTTTCTATTTTCTGATGGTTGTAGTAGTTCCCAGTTGTCAATTAAGACTGGCCAAGCAAAATTATTGGGTGAGTTGGGATAGGGTTTCTCTCTTTTTTATCATAATCTGACCAAAACTAACAACTCTCTTGCTGTTTGCTCAACTAAAATAACAAAATCAGTCTAAGGGCAGTTTCACATCTACAAAAAAAAAAATCAAATTTCAAACGAATAAAGACCAACAAACACTCTCTCTCCCTACTCTCTCTCTCTCTCTCTCTCTCTCTCTCTTGTTTCCGTTTCTTGACAGGTCTCCATAATCAACCCATTCCATAGCCCACAGCTTCTAGATAACGAAGACCTTTCTTTGCCTCCTTGTTCAACACTCCATAAATCAACATATATATATATATATATGACCATTCATTGCTGAAATAATGCTTCTGATCAGCCTTTGATTTGTGACATTGGAGAGAAAGAGATGATGGATTATCATCGACTTGCTGGTAGATCCTCTTACGAGGATAAACTCAAACTCCTTGAGGCTGATATACAGCATGCCAATTTGCTGTGAGCTCTCTCTTTCTCTCTTCCCCTAAATTGGTTTCTCTATTGATTTTTTTTAAAAAAATTCCAGAATTTTAAGACTGTTTTGTTTGTGGGTTCTATGAAAATTTACAACAATGTATGAATTTTCTTGGGGTTTTAGGTTATCCCCTGTTTTCTACTTTACTGATTTTTTAATGGGTACATTTTCATTATCTTCATTTTTAAAGTATTCTGTAATTTCAGCAAGGGTGCATTCCCAATTTGAGATTTTTGATGTTGGCTATTTTGTTTGAGTTGTGCTTTTGATGGGTAATATAAATAACACACACACACACACACATATATATGCATATATATATAAATATTCTTTTTTTTTTTTCAAGTATTCTGTAATTTCACGAAGAGGGCATTTCCAATTTGAGATTTTTTATGTTGGAAATGGTCAATTGTTTGAGTTGTGGTTTTGATGCGTTTATACAAAATAATATATATATATATATATATATATATATCAGGCAATCTGTGCTTGCTAATTTAGTTATAACAGTTTGTTATTCCAGCGTAATTATATTTGATGGCTTTAATCTCTGATAATTCAGACCAAAAATAAAAGAGAATGAGAGAGACAGGTAATAAAAAACTTTCATTCAGCCAAGGAAATTGAAATTCAAGAAGTTTGGCTTTACTGAATTTTAATAAAATTTATTTTAGATGTTGAATGTTAAAAACTGCACATCATTATGAAATGATGGTTTTTTTTTTTTTTTTTTTTTTTTTTTTTGGTTAGGTAAATACTCGCCCACTGTAGGCCTCGAACCCCTGTGCTAATGGCCCAGTGGTATGGGTTTGATGAGTTTGCATACAGGAAACCTTATCATTTATGTGGAATTTAATGAGCTTATTACCAAATTCAAAACCACTCAAAAAAATAAATAAAAAAAAAATTCTCAATTTTGTTTGTTTAGTTCTTACTTTCTTTTTCTTTCTTTTAAACTTTTTAAACGTTGATTCGCCTAGTAATTCCATATTATGAACACTTGATTATTTATGGTCCGATGGAGGCTGCTAATTAATGTCACTGGCTAATGGAAGTGATTATCTTATTCTTAGTTGATTTATGGTTGCAGGGCTTCTTCTATTCCAAGTGTAAAGGGCAGTGCTTGTCTTCAAATGAAATTGGTCTACAACCCCTTTGCACCCATTTTTTTGCTATTTCTCCAATGGATGGACTGCTCATGCACATGTCTGTTTCCGAGTTATTTGAATCTCTTCCACATAGTTGTATACAAGGTTGTTCCCTACTTGCTTACTCATGCATTTTTTCGGGCAAAATCTTTTTCTTTTTTATTTTGTTTTTCTTTGGGGAGTTGGTGATCATATCGTTGGTCCATGGTTAATCTCTTATATCCTTTAGGTGTGCCCAGATGGTAAGCCACTTCTCTCTTCATATAGAAGGAAAGCAACCATTAGAGAGTTCTACGGTATGCCAACGATCTTCAGTTCTTTTTCGGTTAATTTGATTTGTTTAAGTGGCCTATTTGGCATTACAAAGACATGGAACCACTAAATGTGTTTCACATAGCATTTGAAGTTAGTATATTTTGCTTTGTAGAGAATGTTTAATTTAGTTTGATTCATTGCATTCATCATGTCATTTTAGTACTTTTTGCACTTTTAGTGCAAGGAACACCAAAGGGAATGGTTTCATTTTGTGTTTTTAATCTGGTTTTTACAGTTACTTTTAATTTGTATATTCTAAAAGGAAAAATATTGCAGCCGTGATATTTCCATCTCTTCAACGTCTCCAAAGCAACCCATCAGAGCTGGATATTGATAAGGACAAATGTCACGGCCTGGACTCGATAGTCACGAAAGGACTAGAGAAAAAGAGAAAGCATCCGGACGTTGATTTGGAGAGAGAAGATGAATGTGGGATCTGCTTAGAGCCCTGCACCAAAATGGTTCTGCCAAACTGCTGTCATGCAATGTGCATCAATTGCTACCATGACTGGTATATATGACCCCCTTTCTATTTTAATTTGTTTAATGTGGTTCATTGGTAATATGTGGTAGAATAGAAGGTCCTTTACAAAGGGCTTAATGCAAGTGTTAGGGGGCAAATTGGCCCTTTCCCATTGGGCACCCGTCCCGTGTAGAATGGTTTATAATGCGAAAATACTATTTTACCCTTATACCTTATGTTATATGCAAAATTACCCCCCCTTCTTCGAAGAATGTTAATGTTTATTTGATTAATTTAGTACGACGGTGTAAATTTTGGAGAAAGGTTTTTTGGTTTATATTCCTAAATTTGAGTTTTGAATTTTTGAATGAGAAAATTAGGGGGGAAAATGAGTTGGAATTGCTTAAACAGGTGCGGGGGTGGTTTACTAAAAAGTTTAGGGCGGGGAGGAGTGGGGGAATGGGGATGGGAAGGGCCCTGCCCCATTGCCATCCCCACCCTAGTGGGATCGCCTCCTCCTTCCAAATGGAAGGTTGAAAGTTGGAGTCCCTAACGTGTGTGCAAGTATGATTTCTTTACCAAAGAAACAAAATATGAAGTTCCTTTCCGTAACACTTCTCTCTTTTTACAGGAACACGAGGTCAGAATCGTGCCCATTTTGCCGGGGTAGCCTTAAAAGAGTTAATTCAGGGGACTTGTGGGTTCTCACACACGGTGGGGATGTAGCTGATGCAGAAACCGTTTCCAAGGAAGAAATGCTGCGCTTCTACCTCTACATGAACAGGCTGCCCAAAGATGTTCCAGATGCTCTTTTCTTAGTGTATTACGAGTATCTAATGTGATTGGTAGCAGAGAAGAATTGATGTACAGGATGAGAAATCTGTTAATACATGTGGATAGTCTCGGTGAGTTTTTTTTTTTTTGCCCTTTTAATTGAACATTTTTCTTCCACAAGATCTTTGTGCAGAATAATGTGTATCTCAGTGTAGAAGAACTAATAGTTTAACATATAAATAAAGAAAAACAATTTTTTAATTTGCGGTATGGAATTATTTCATGTGTGTGGTTATGTCATCTGTTGAGATTGCATAAGGATGGGTGAAGCTTCTGATCTCATGGAATAAGGAACGAAAAGTGGAACAAATATTTAACGTTATTAAATTTTCAATAAATGGGCACAATCAAACCTTATATGATAATTATTTCATTGAGATTTTTATTTGTGATAATTATATTTGATTATATAAGTCACTTATTTTATTTAAAATAATTGTCATTCCATTTGGTTGACCAATTTGTCAAGTGGGTTTGGAATTATTAGGCAATTTGGTCTAAGTTACTCTTCATAGGGGACAGTTGATATTAATTGATCAATTAAAGAAAATTTGGACTTTTTGACAATCAAACAGTGGTCAAATCATCGAATTTTGTAAACCTGATTCTAATGGTAAATTTAAAGGAAGAAATGTGAAGGCAAACGATAATAAGAGCTTGATTTTAAAGATTACAGTGAAAGAAGTGAAAGATCCATTGAATTTTTTTTATTTTTTATTTAACAAGACAAAGATCCATTGAATGGTATTCATCAAATTGTAGGTTCAGATTTAACACAGAGAAGCCCTTTCCTTTTGGATTGCTTCCGACTCCAAACCCTAATTCCACAAGGGGTTCCATAGAATTCATACCCATTTTTCTAATGGAGATCGTGGTTGGGATGCAAACTCAGGCGGGAAGCCCTTTCCTTTTGGATTGCTTCTGAATCCAAGCCCTAATTCCACAAGGGTTCCATGGATTGCTTCTGAATCAAAACCCTAATTCCACAAGGGTTCCATGGAATCCATACCCATTTTTCTAATGGAGATCACGGTTGGGATGCAAACTCGGGCCGGAAGCCCTTTACTTTTGGATTGCTTCCGAATCCAAACCTCAACTCCACAAGAGTTCCATAGAATCCATACCCATTTTTCTAATGGAGATCGTGGTTGGAATGCAAACTCAGGCGGGAAGCCCTTTCCTTTTGGATTGCTTCTGAATCCAAACCCTAATTCCACAAGGGTTCCATGGAATCCATAACAATTTTCTAATGGAGATCATAGTTGGGATGCAAACTCAGACGGATTGAGCAGTTGTCAGCGAGCTCAACCCGAGCTTGAGCTCAAGTCCAACCTGACCTCCAACTCGATGAATCCGAACACACTTATCTAATAAACAACACATGATTTGAGCAAAACACAATTAATAACACATGATTCGAACAAACTCTCACACCCTACATGTGAAAATTACAAGAAGTCTTAACATTCTGTACATATAAATTGAATCACTCTTCCATCATTTCTGGAAATGAAAGATTTTAGTCACGAATTACTGAACACTACCAGCACTTGATTGAGCCTTTGACTCTAAAAAGAGTCTTACCGTTGAGAAGATGAGGGAAGGTTCAGCCATTGCACCATTTCCGTAATCCCTACAAGCTAGCATTTTCGTCACGGGTGGGATAAGCGAAATTCCGAGCTCGTCAATTAACACAAGATGCCGTTCTGTGAAGGGATTGTTCCACATGAATGTGTTCATGGCTGGTGCCACAAAGAGTGGCTTACTGTAATCCCATGCTCGCACAACGCTAGTCAGCAGGTTGTCACACAATCCCCCAGCAATCTGTCATAGAATACAAAAAGAGAAGAAAAAAAAGTAATTAAAAAAAAAAAAAAAAAAAAAAAAAATTAGATGAAGACAAAAAATATATCTGCAGAGGAGAACATCATGAAGGCCAAGACAAATCATTCTCAGCAGAATAAAATTCTCAATATGTCTCATTATATGTAAGGTTTATGTGAATGCGTGCTTGTTGTACTTGACTCAACAAAACCTTGCCCCAAGTACCAACTCATCGCAGTCAGCTACATGACTTGTGTGTAACCATTCCGCTCAAAGATCATAGTTTCAGATACAAATACAAATTCATGCTAGAACTCATTCAAGTAACTGTTAGTTCATTCAAGTAACTTCGAAATTGAACAACGACGTGGTTGTCCATGATTTAATCAAATAATTAGTTTGCATACTATAACACAGGGATATCCAACAGGGAAGGCACAAAAATGTATCATATTGTACTAATATCATAGACGCGTGGTTTAACTAATTAAGGAAAGTAAACTAGTCCAAGTAGCATACAAATCTTGTTTTGATTTTGAGAAGAATTATTAATTCTTTTTTATAGGTAAATAATCCACAATAGTCTGACAATAAAAATGCAAAATAGCCAAATTAATATATATTAAGCTGTAATTTGTTTCTTAAAAAGCGACAAAGGACACAGCTATAGCCAAGATAAAAATCATAAAACTTTTTTTGTGGCTATACAAACCAAGGTTTGAAAATGTTGATTGGCTACAAACAAGAAAGGCAGAGTAGCCAGATGAACAGCATAAACTGAGTTTTTCTTTTTTAAAAGTGACGAAGCCTGTAGAAATAGTCTTAACACATGATACATGATTCGAACACACTCTCAATGACGCACATACAAACTCACCCACGTATGATGCTAGAACTCATTCAAGTAATTGTTAGTTCACTCAAGTCAACTTCAAAATCAAACAACAGCACAACTGTCCATGCTCCAATCAAATAATTAGTTTGCCTACCATATAACTCAGGTACATGCAACAGGCCAGGCACAAAAATGTATCATATTGTACCAATATTATGGACGTATGGTTTAACAAATATTGATTATTAAGGCTAGTAACCTAGTCCTAGTATATCACAAATCACGTTGTCACTTTTGAGTCAATAATTATTGATGGCTCCTATGTCAAATATAGCATGCTTTTTTATAGGTAAAGTAATCCACAGTAATCAACAACAAAAATGCAAAATAGTCAATTGAATAAATATCAAGCTGTATTTTCTTTCTTAAAAAGTGACAAAGGAAACAGCAATAGCCACGATAAAACTTTTTTTGTGGCTGTATAAACCAGGTTCTAAATAGTTGATCGTCCAAAAAACACAAAATAGATACAGGAACAATATACAAGAGTATTTGCTTTTTAAAAAGTGATAAAAGTGTATAGGGATAGTCTGAACAAAAAAAAAAAAAATTGTGGCCATATAAACCAAGGTTTGAAAAGCTGGCAGTAGTGACCTTGCAAGTTCATTCAGTTGACGAGAAAAACTAAGAAACATAACATGTTGAGTTTGGTCAATTATGGAAGGGGGCTATAATGTACATATTATAACTTTAGTTAGTACATGCTGAAACTCCAGTTCAATGACTTGAAAATTTGATATCTAACAAACCTCACCATTCCCCAGATTCCCCACTCCCCTCAAAAATAGTTTACAAGATTGGTGCACATTATTACCTTGCCAAGTGTGTTTGCAGACAATGGAGCAATAACCATGATATCAGCCCACCTGCGGAGCTCAATGTGAAGCACGCCATCACCTATCTTCGTCCAAGTTGACCACTCATCTTCATCAGTATAAAGCATTACATCTTGTGGAAGTGATGCTTTTTCGATGAAAGGCAAAGAAGCCCTAGTGGCGACTGCTTTTACTTCTGCCCATTCAGAAAAACAACGGCAGAGGTTCCCAAACTTTATAGCAGCTACACTTCCACTAGCAGCAAGTAGAATCCGTGGCTTCCTCGTACAAGTATTAGCTTGTGTTGCGTTCCTTTCTGCACTTGCAGGTTCTGAGAATGCCATGAAGTATGCAACAAGTCCAACAATATTCTTGGGAGTCCTTGGTATACTGTAAAACCCAACAACTTATCACCTTATTTAGTCCAACAAAATCAGTAACCTGTTTAGATTAGCATTGGACTCACAGACAAAAGCAAGTCCACTAAATCCAATGTAAGATGTTCAAAGAATATCTTGAAAGAAACTGAATAACTAATTCAAGTCACTTGGCAATTTCCTGGCGGCCATGCACTTATTTATCAAAAAGTAGCAAGAAGGGAAAGAGGTTTCATCTATGACCAATCCTCCATGGCCACACTATATGTGAAATTTTTAGTTCATTAAGGTCTTGCTTGAGAAGACGAAAAATGAAATATTGAAAAATTTAAGAACTAAACTCTAAATGTTGAATTTTAAGCACTGAATTCAAGAAAACCATTAAACACAGTATATTCAGCAAAAATTTGTCAAGTTCGATAAAAAGTTTAAGCACACAGCATGTTTAGCTAAAATTTGTCAAGTTCAATAAAATCTTTAAACACATAGCATATTCAGCTATCAGTGAAGTTCCATTCACTTACAACTTTGACTACTTTAAGTGTATCTGATTTTAATTTTTCAATTAACACTTGAATTGCATTATCAACTGCAATTGTTTGCAAAATCACTTACATTTCGTTTGGATGCATGAAATCAGTGTCTTAGGATTGGTATTGAAGTTCTAATTTAAGTTGAATTAGTTTTTCTCCAATTCCAGTTCCAATGTCAAAATTTGCATGCTACCAAAAGGAGCACCATGTTCTGTTTTAAGTGCTGAATTAGTGTATCATACATCACCCAACTCTTAAAAATTCTCCTACTTACTTACCCACATGGTTGCTCCATAACACCAAAAAAAGCACACAATGGTACCAAGGACATGCTTGGTCCAGGTTTCAAAACATACTTCTCAGAAACGGAAAACTATTTTCGAAAATACCCCTTTTCTAGTTTTCTTAGGGGAGTTTTCAAAAATCAGTTCTCAGAAAATGTCAACCAAATAAAATTTGTTAAGTTTCCATTTTCAGTTCTGAAAAATAAAAATTACCCTGAACCAAGCAGGTTCTAAAAAACCCAAACACAATAAACATCCAACTAAAAAAAAAAAAATTAATAATAATAAAAACAATATAAACAATAACAATCGCTTGCACTGAAGTTGCTGAGCTGAGGTACACAAAGACAAACATTTTTTCTTTGAAGGAATAAAACCCACTGAAAACAAGAGAGAGGTACCTCCGGCGGTGTTAATGGCCCGCGATGTCACTGGTAGGGCCCACAAAAGCGATCGCGGGAATGAGCTCCGACTACTAGTGTAAGTGACTGACTATCAAAGTGGTAGTTTAAAGCAGATCGAAATGGAAGTGATGGCTACAAGGTAATATGTTGTTCCAATGGCGCCCCAAAAATGCCCCAGTAGTGGACGACACCCTCTCTCTAGTCCCCAAGAAACCCACAAACCATGAGGCCCTACCTTGGGCTTTCTCAGTAATGAAAAGATTAAAGTGGGCTCTCTTAGGACTAGTGAGATTTTCTTTTTGACCATGACTCTTATCCTGGGTGACGGACAACAACAACAAACAAATATATATATATATATATATACTAGAAATTCGTACGTAATTAAAAGCTAATAAATATAAATAAATAAATAAGTGGATTAAAAGTATTGCAAACAATTATACATTTGTTATTTAATATTGACTTAAAATTATGATCACGAAGTTTGTCATCCTTATACATACCATGTCAATTGCCACTCGATTTCATTTCTTTATTGAATTTCTTACCTTCCGAATATGGTTGTCTCTTTGGTCAGGTGACAAATTTTCATAACTATTTCTATAATATGCATTCAATTTATTGCATCTATTTTCGTGTCTCATTGAATTGTTCCACCTAATAATAGAAAATACGAAGTAAGTAAAGATGTTGTTTTCATATGCAATCTATGTGTCTAATTGAATAGTTCACCTTGTAAACATAATCTTGTTACATCTAATAATCAAGTAATAGAAAATATAAAGTAAATTAAGTTGGTGTTTCATATAAAATCTGTGTCTAATTAAACAGTCTATCTTACAAAGATGATGATATTTTTCTACTTACAAATTTTTCTGTATTTTATATATTCATTGAAATAAAATAAGAAAATGGTTTTAACAATAAGAAATAATAAACTAGTCTAGACCATAATAAATACTTTATTATTTAATGCACAAAAAAAGTACACATAAGTCAACATAATAGAAGATTTTTATTAACTACGAGATAAAAAAAACCAAATTATAAAGTATAAATTTTTCACTCACTTGTAATTTTTATCCCCTTTTATTTGAAATTAGCAGTGTTCTCATCAAGGATATAAACATAATTAGGTTAGCATTATAAAAAATATATATATATAGATTTAAGTTTCATGCATATAATGAGATTGACAAAACTTTCGTGTGTCATTGAATTATTCCACATTATAAGTAAGCATAAAGTAATTTAAGATGATGATGAAAATTCTAGGAAAAAAAGGCCAAAGTTAATCGAAATGAGGTATGATACTTTTTATAAATTTTAATAAATGGCTAATTTTGTAAAAGAGTGACAAAAAAAAAAAAAGAAAAAAAAAAAGAAATAAAAGCATGATGCATTATGATAGTATTATAGTAACACTCAATAGGCTAATATCCACTAACATGATTAATATTTAGGTTATTTTAAAGTTATTTATATATAAAGAAAAGTGAAAACAAATATATATAGTAATAATAAATCAATAAAATGAATAACTAACGTTGACTTTTCATACGTTTTTGACCTTTTATTATTATAATAACCATTCCAAGTGCATGGTGTTAGATTTTTTTTAGATTATGGAAGAAGATATAAATGCTTTTAAGAAAAGATAAAGAGAGAAAGTTAAAGGTTTAGAGAGAAAGAATGAACTAATTTAAAATTGGTCATTTTTCATCAAAAAGGGAAAATGGTTATTTTATTAAAATGATTTTTAATTAAATCAATTGTTTTAATTATTTTTTTCGTTGGTACTGACCTCTTCTGACAATTTAAAATTGTTTAAAATTGTATAATCTAACTCAAGGATTAGATATGAACAAGGAATTAACCTTTAAAAGAACAATTTTTTTTTTTTTTTTGAGGAAAAAGGAAATTTGTCTCCAATCCAACGTCTTTGTGTTTTAAAGTGATATATATATATAATATTTCCTTAAAAGGGTTTAAAGTAAGGATGGGCTTTAGTTGGGCTTGGATGGTTAAAAATTAGAAGGTAAAATAGATTTTTAGTTTTTAAATATTGCGTTGACGTTTTCAATATTTTTACTTGAACGTGATTCATACTGAAAGTTGTATAATTATAGTTTGACACGTTTTCCTAAATAAAATGACTGGTTTTCATCTAAGCCGATATAATTCAGATAAAAAAGTTGTATTAGTTATTTTAAAAGACATGACTTTTAATGAATACATGATTACCTAATATTATTAAATGAAATGTTAATTATCTTATAAGATATGACTTTAAAAAATCGATTAATCATTAAAGAAGGGAAAAAAAAAATCCATGTCTGAGTTCTATTGAAACGTATTATTTATATATTTAAAAAGAACATTTTAGAATAATTGGAATGGAGTGAATCAATTATGGAAAGCTTCAAATGATAGGAATTTCAATTACTAACAATAATAAAGGAAAAAAAAATAATCATTGTATGAATCCTACTGGAATTTTATTTTTTCAATTTAAAAAGAATAGTTTGAAGTAATTGGGATAGAGTGAATAACAATTAAAAGGGGAGAAAAAAAAGAGAAAAACCATGGTATGAATTTTCTATTTAAGAATAATATTGAAAATACTGTTTAATTTTCAGAATGAGATATCTTCGAAAAATAAATCAAAGCACAATCTTTTTCTAATTTAAAATGACCAACTAAATAATTAATCAAACTGGAAACAATTTATGCAAATAGAACTATTACTTAGTTATTCTAAACACAACAGTAACGTATTAAAAGAAACAATCAATCAATTATGTTTTATAAGTACAATAAAATATATATTCAATAAAGTAAACAATCATATACACTGCAACAATCCAAATCAAGTAGATAAACAAACCAAAAACAAAAATATAGATAACTACTAAAATATAAAGCAATTTATGCTCAAGCGTGAACTCAAATAGGAATCAAAGTTTGATTCTAAGAAAGATCCATGTCATAATGTCACCATTGAAGTTGATTTTGTATACATAATATATATATAACTACTAATTCATACTATGTGTCAGGCTCGTCAGATATTATAGCATATATTTATATCTATAAATATATTAAACAATAAGCATATTGAGAACACATAGAATAGGAAAAACTTTTTCTGTATTCTCAAAAACAAAAATATAAGTAAAACGAAATATATATTACAACATACCTTAAGTCAAAATAAGCCTAAAGTTCTCTGCATAAATCAAATATTGACTTTCTTGGATACGCTTTGAAGTTGAGTTAGATGACAAAAGAAAATGTTGAAAGAAGAGATGGAATGATAGAGGATGAGAGAGACAAGATCCCAGCGGATTATATAATGTTCTTCGTACACCAACCGCCGTGTAGACGTGAAAAAGGAAGACGTGTTCGTTTGTTTCTATGTTTTTATAAACTATTTGATTTTTATTTTATTATTATTATTTTTTTTAAAGAAGAGGAACTTAAGGGAAGCTGTTTAATTTTTTTATAATTTTTTAAATAAAACTAAGTGACAATGTCTTCAACTAAAGGGTTAAAACTGTTTGATATCTTTTTTAAAAAAAGAAGGCGAACAGAAAGGGGAACTGTTTTGTTTTTTTTGGAATTTTAAAAATAAAATGAAAGGGTATCTTTTTTTTAAAGTCAAAACGTCGCCGTGTACAATAATACAAAAAGTGTATATAAAAAATGGAATAGAATATACTTTTATAGGGTATATATATATATATATATTGACAACTATGTTGCTATTGTGTTTATTAAAACATTTCATAATTCACCAACGATTACATGATGTAACCGGTAACAGACCCAAGAATTGTATAAAAGGGGCGGTCATCAACAATAATAATATATAGTGTAGTATCATTATAAATTGAGTAAATCCATTTTAAAGATTTTAACAAAAAAAAAAGGTAAGAAAGTTTAAAAAATTATACATAATTTTGTAAATAAAAAAATGTCGGTGAGAGCCCACTGAGCCCTTAATGGGTCCATGCCTACATGCAATCCCTCATTTCAGCATTTAGGCACGGACCTACTTGAGATCCAGTAGGGCAATTTCCCAACTGATATTTTTAAGTATTTTATACCTATTTGTCAGGGTTGGGACTATTAACAATTTTAAGATCCATTACAAAAGTTCCAAAGAGTTCCATTTGGCACTCAATTTTAATAAACATAATTGCTTATATTAACCATGATGTCATCAAAGGAATAAAATATTTCTTCTCTACCCTTATAACTAGGGATGACAATGGGCGGTTTGGGGCGGGGATCTCATTTCCCATCCTCATTTAATTTTTTCACCCCCATGACCACCCCAAAATCCATTAGGTTTTTCAAAGCAGCCTCCATCTCCGTCTCCATTTACATAATCGGTTCACCAAAATCGCCTCAAACGAGGCAGGGCCCCACCAAGGTAGGAATTTTTGCCAGCATTACTTGTGACTCTCTCTTTTTCATAAGACTTAAGACATGAAACGAAATGAGTGCTAGGGTTTTGTAATGTCCTAAAAAAATTTCAGATTTTTTTGTATTTTTAATTATTTTCTATTTTGTTTTCGTACCTCGTTTTATGTGCCACGTGGGTCCCGGGTATCATTTGTGACATTTTTATGAATTGGGGACTCTTAGAAATGTATTTTGATCATTTTCGCCATTTTCTGATTGACGGAGTCGTTTTTGAGTTTTCGAGGTCGGGACAAGATTTTCGTGCTCGGGAATTTTTTCGGTTTTTCTTTTTTATTATTATTTTGTATTGGCATGTTAAACTATGTATTTATATGTGTATATGTGTGTGTGTGTGTGTGTGTGTGAGAGGGAGAGATCTTTTGTGGCATGTACGCAATTAGTGGAGATTTGGGAGGGCATTTTGGAACATTTGGTATGACATGTGGGTCCACCTTTGTAATAATTGGGATCTAATTAATTTATTTATTTGCATTTTAATTTGATTTGGTGGCTATGTGCTTACGTGACTATGTGTTTATGCATTATGTGCTTAAGTAATTTAATTAATTGTTGATGTGTATTGTGTGTTTTATTGTGTGTATTTGTGTGATGTGATCTATGTGACTTGATTGTGTACTTGTTTGTAATTATGTGTTTGTTAAATGTTTAATTATCTATTATTTTTATTTTTTTTTCAAAATGAATGGATTTAGATAGTAGTAATGGACCAACCAAATGGGTTACATGAATTACTTGGATAAGAGCCTAAATTGATAAGATTATGACT